TGTGTGTGGGTGTGTGTGTGTGTGTGTGTGTGTGTGTGTGTGTGTTTCAAGGGTTGTTGTTCTCCTTGTATAAATGGCATGTCTGCCTGTAACAAGCAGGGAAGTCTTCTCAAGTGTGTGTCATCTCTGTGCCTGTGTGCCTGTACCTCTCTCAGTGTAGGCGTATGTGAGGGAGGATAGTCTCTGAGACTGTCTGTGAGTGATAGCACTAGTATAAAATATATTGTGTGTAGAGAATACATGCGTATATATTCATTGTTTGTGTGTGGTGGTGGTGTGGGGGGTTGTCTCTCTCACCGGGATGCAGCCTCTCAGCAGTTCATTAATCTCTCACCCTCGTCTGGCAGCGTCTAGACGGTCGTCTGAGAGGCCAGACACTCAGGGTCTATCTGCGCAAATTGCCTCCCATCAGCCTCAAACTTACTAATGTAGACATGGCCCCTGCAGTAATGAGGCTGATCTCATTGGCTAACTGATATGCAGATTTCACTCATATGAGGGATATTTTATCAGCTGCACATTAGCATACTAATGTCTGGACTGGGGACCGTTTAAGTTTAGGGCTCTGGTGAGTTTATATGGAAATGGAAGAGTCATTATTTAACTGTGTGGATGTGGTATGAGTAGAATACCGTTATTCTGAACAAACACTTTTGTCTGCTGTAAAAACTGGTTTATGTGCTTGTAGTTCTAGTTGAGCATATAGATTCTTTCTCTGTCATACAATGTCTTATATGTGACCCTGGACCACAAAACCAGTCTTAAGTCGCTGGGGTATATTTGTAGCAATAGCCAAAAAAACATTGTATGGGTCAAAATTATCGATTTTTCTTTTATGCCAAAAATCATTAGGATATTAAGTAAAGATCATGTTCCATGAAGATATTTTGTAAATTTCCTACCATAAATATATCAAAACTTAATTTTTGATTAGTAATATGCATTGCTAAGAACTTCATTTGGAATTTCACAAAATTGACCCTTATGACTGGTTTTGTGGTCCAGGGTCACATATGTGGTGTAAGGCTGGGTGATATAGCTTAAAAATCTATCAAGATTTTGTTTGCTTTTTAAAAATGTCTGTGCTTTTGCTTTTTATCTAATCATAATTATGAAATGTAATTTATAGATATAGATACGTGTGAGTGTGTGTGTGTGTTTGCTTAGAAGTGTGTATATAATTATACTGAGTCTATCATATTTTCATATTTCATATGCCATTTTTCAAATTTCATATATTTTCATCTGTCAAAATTTGTCAGATTATAAAATATAATTATTCATTGTCTCGGGAGTCTGTCAAGAAAATAACATAACGGTTGTAAAAATAATAATGGTCGTAAAATATATATCTGTATATAAAGACAGTCTGAAATGTGATTTTTATTTTATTTTCTGTTTTATTTATTTATTTATTTTTGGTCATACAGTTAAATAAGGGATGTTGCAAACAAATAATTAAACACAAATTGTGTTTTCTTTGGAACAGACAGCTTTGAAAAACAGAAAAGTGCCATAACATTTTTCATCCACCAATAGTACTGAATGTATCGAAGATCTAGGCTGGTAACTGGAAGTTTGTAGGTTCAAACCCTTCAAGGGACGATCCATAAACTACCACCATTGTGCCATTTATACGGTGGCCGAGAGCTCAACACGCTGCAACTTCAGAAAACGCATGCAAATAGAAAAGGCACCAGCAAATTAAGAAAACATCTTCATCAGTTTGACAGAACATGTGCTGCAAATACTCGCAACACAACCAAATACAAAACCACGGTGCAAATACTCACAACATAAGCAAAAACAGAAACGCGATGCAAATACTCACAACACAAACAAAGAAACGTGCTGCAGATACTCACAACACAAACAAATAAAGAAACGCGCTGCAAATACTCACAACACAAACAAATAAAGAAACGCGCTGCAAATACTCACAACACAAACAAATAAAGAAACGCGCTGCAGATACTCACAACACATCCAAATACAGAAACGCGCTGCAGATACTCACAACACAAACAAATAAAGAAACGTGCTGCAGATACTCACAACACATCCAAATACAGAAACGCGCAAGTAGCACACACCACAGCAAAATTACCCCGACAAAATGAAAATTAACCATGTTTTTTTTTTGGACGTATTGATTTCCATTTGAATAGCCACAGTTGTACAAATACCATGGTTAAAATGGTTAGTGTAGTAAATCCATGGTTAATTTGTATAAAAAATAACCCTTTTTTTTCTTAATTTTTCTTATATAATAAATGTATTTATTAATTAATTTTAATAGTAGGCTATGATTAATTTTTGTAAAGTAAGTTGTAAAAGTAAGTTAGTCAGCTTACATTAACCTTTCACAGTTACAGTAATTGTGTATTTCGTCAGCTTATTTAGGCTAATAATATCCACAAAAAAGAGCTAATGAATATGATCAGGGTGTTAAAATAAACGAAAATCTCACCTTTCAGAGTAGACAGTGCATGTCCCAGCCATGTTTGTCACTTTGCGGTTCCCTTAAACATTTCCGATGTGGTCTGTGTCTATTTGCAGCGCGTTTCTTTATTTGGTTGTGTTGTGAGTATTTGCAGAGCATTTCTTTATTTGTTTGTTTTGTGAGTATTTGCAGCGCATTTCTTTGTTTGTTTGTGTTGCGAGTATTTGCAGAGCGTTTCTTTATTTGGTTGTGTTGTGAGCATTTGCAGCGTGTGTGTTGTCAAATTGATGAAGATGTTTTTTTTCATTTGCAGGTGTTTTTTCTATTTGCATGTGTTTTTTCATTTGCAGCGCGTTGAGCGCTCTCGGCCACCGTACATTTAGGCTACGTTTACACGACAACAATGTAGTCAAAAGTGGAAAAGTTTTTCCATTACGTTTTTAAAAAGTTTCATGTATGCACGACAACGTTTTCAAAACGATTTGCGTTTACACATATCTGTGAAAATGGCCAAAAACGCTGTATTACGTATGCCAGGCCAGTAGTTGGCTCTGTCACCTTGTTAGTAAACAGGACTACTAGTAGGGAAGTGACGATTATATGATGTATATGATGCCTCTCCGCTATTGGTGAAGTAAATCCGCACTTTGCTGAAGAAGCGTTAGCAAACTCTTGAGCAGCAACAACAGTACCATGTACTCTGCCATTGTTGTGTATGTTTGTTCGCACCTGACTTTAAAATCGACACGTCCTGCGCATGTCTACATACCTAACACGTACTACACACGCGCATGATGTCACCGTTTTCAAAGATTCCCGTATTGGGCGTTTACATGGAAATGATAACGGTGGCATTTTCAAAAACTTGCACTTTGAAAGCCATTTTCAAAAATATGCGTTTTCAATCCGCAAAACTCTGTTGTCATGTAAACGAACAGGCAAAACGCATAAAAAGTTTCCCGTTTTTGGCTGAAAACGTTGTCATGTAATCGGCCCCTTAGATGTGCATAGTATACTAGCATTTACTGATGTCTAATTATTAGCTACTGTTTTAATGGCTTTTTATTGGATACTTTAAAGCTAAGATGACACATTCTCACTGTATTTCTTGCATTCACTCCCTTCTGCTCTGCAGGTGGTGTATGCTCCTCAGCCAAGGGACCGCTTCACCGCTCCCACTTTCATGCAGCACAACCGCTTCAGACGTTTCCAGCCTACCTACCCATACCTGCAGCAAGAGATCGATCTGCCGCCCACCATCTCTCTGTCAGACGGAGAGGAGCCGCCGCCGTACCAGGGCCCTTGCACACTGCAGCTGAGAGACCCCGAACAGCAGCTCGAGCTCAACCGAGAGTCGGTACGCGCTCCGCCTAACCGGACCATCTTCGACAGGGACCTCATTGACATGCACAGTTCAGGTGGTGGCGGTGGGCCGCGGCCTCCCAGTAGCAACTCTGGGATCAGCGCGGCCAGCTCCAGTACCCATGGACGCATGGAGGGCCCTCCGCCCGCTTACAGTCAAGTAATTGGGCAGCAGTCAGACATCGTACTTTACCTCCACCAGCACAGCAATAACCCGCCCATCCCCGTCACTGTGCAGACTCCGCCCAGGGGCCGGACAGATTTAAACAGCCCAGAGAGCACAATAGCGCTGAGCAAAGACCTACAGAGGGAGGAGCTAGTGTGAGGGGGCGGGGCTAGCACAGTATTGGGCGATCGCGATCACTCTCCACTCACAAAGGGAACGGGTTCTCCCTCTTGACACTCCCGTGCACAACAGCGCTTAATGCGTCTTCGCGACGAAAGCGAAACCATGTGGGTTTTTTTTTGGTTTTTTTTAAATAACAGTATGGAGCTGAACTTACGAAAGAAAACATTACATTTGTTTTCTGTCAGTCCAGCTGCGCTAAAACTGGGGTTTATGCACTGCCTGGAGTCTCGAGTTATTTCTCTGTATTACTTCTGTATAGCCGACAAATGTAGAGAAAGTTATTCGTGCACAAGACAGGCTTTTTGCTGTTGTTGTTGTTCTTGTTGGTTTTATTGTTGTATTCTTCTTGAATGCCCCCCTTCTGCCCAAACCACACGTGATATACTACTAGCTGTGTGGATAGAAATTTCTTTTTTTCTTTTTTCTTTTTTTTCTTTTTTATTTAAAGACCGAGATCTGTGCAGCATGAACAAAACAAATGCGAAAAAGGGTGAAAATCCAAATCCTAGTGCCAAGGTTTATGTGGGTGTCATAGGGGCGTTGACTGTCTTAAAGACTTGTTATACATTTAAATCAAAACCCTTTTCTGAACTTTGCACTATTGTTGAGGTTAATCAGAGAAATCTGGGAATGGGGTAGTGGGGAAGTCGTTTTCGTGTAGCTCTGATCATATGCTTCAGTGCAAGCTTTCTACCGGAGGGAAGTGATCTTGTCAGTCTTCAGCACAAGAAAAATCTCTGATCCAGCCTAAAATAACCATGATCTAAAAGAGGCACAGAATACAGAGAGTCTGCTCTACTCTCATCTATCCTCACCACTGACACGTTCTGCCACTTTCACAGACTCCAGCTGATCTGAGGTCAGTTGGCTGGTGGCACGGTTGACATTTTGCCTAAAAAATTCACTTCACTAAGAGAACTGAACAGGTTTGACACGTTTTGAGATTTTTGCTTTTTTTTTTCCTCCAACCTTATTCTCATCATCTGTTTTTATTATTTTTAGTATTATATATTGATTTGAAAATGTGTATATAAATGAAGACTCGGTTTAAAAAAAAAAAAAAGTATATAGACCTTAATAATGCTTTAATATTATATGTCTTAAAAATTTTCCTTAAAGACATTAGTAAGAAACTGTTATATTATTCGAAATATTATCAAATTATTGTTCATTTTAATGGAATTTTTTTCCTCATTGGAGTCTGTCAAAAAAAACATTCATGATTTTAAGTTTACCATTTCATGCCTTTCGCGCTTTTGTTTTTGAGTCAAAACTGATAAACCGAATGATCCTATAAAATAATCCAGTTCTGTATTGTATTTTTTTTTATTTTTATTTTTTTTTTGGTAACCCATGTCACTACCTGCTCACATTTTCCACCTTATAATACCACAAAATAGATATTCATTGGCATACTCTTCTAATCAAAATGCCAGTGTGTTCGAAGGATACCCTGTTATGCATGTTGTATAATCTAGTCCCCAAGGATAATTAATCAGGTTTAAAATGTGGTGAAGTCAAGGGCTAATGTGATGGGCATTTTTGAAAATACCTATTTTTACCCAGCAATCCTCTGTCCTGTTGCCTTTGCTTTCACTCTGACGCTGGCCAGAGTGAACCCGACCCTGACACCAGTCGTGATATACGTGTTTACTGTATGTACTGTCGTTTTCGTGTACTTCCGATCATATGCTTCAGTGCGAGCTTTCTACCAGAGGGAAGTGATCTTGTCTGTCTTCAGCACAAGAAAAATCTCTGATCCAGCCTAAAATAACCTTGATCTAAAAGAGGCACAGAATACAGAGTCTGCTCTACTCTCATCTATCCTCACCACTGACACGTTCTGCCACTTTCACAGACTCCAGCTGATCTGAGGTCAGTTGGCTGGTGGCACGGTTGACATTTTGCCTAAAAAATTCACTTCACTAAGAGAACTGAACAGGTTTGACACGTTTTGAGATTTTTGCTTTTTTTTTTCCTCCAACCTTATTCTCATCATCTGTTTTTATTATTTTTAGTATTATATATTGATTTGAAAATGTGTATATAAATGAAGACTCGGTTTAAAAAAAAAAAAAAGTATATAGACCTTAATAATGCTTTAATATTATATGTCTTAAAAATTTTCCTTAAAGACATTAGTAAGAAACTGTTATATTATTCGAAATATTATCAAATTATTGTTCATTTTAATGGAATTTTTTTCCTCATTGGAGTCTGTCAAAAAAAACATTCATGATTTTAAGTTTACCATTTCATGCCTTTCGCGCTTTTGTTTTTGAGTCAAAACTGATAAACCGAATGATCCTATAAAATAATCCAGTTCTGTATTGTATTTTTTTTTATTTTTATTTTTTTTTTGGTAACCCATGTCACTACCTGCTCACATTTTCCACCTTATAATACCACAAAATAGATATTCATTGGCATACTCTTCTAATCAAAATGCCAGTGTGTTCGAAGGATACCCTGTTATGCATGTTGTATAATCTAGTCCCCAAGGATAATTAATCAGGTTTAAAATGTGGTGAAGTCAAGGGCTAATGTGATGGGCATTTTTGAAAATACCTATTTTTACCCAGCAATCCTCTGTCCTGTTGCCTTTGCTTTCACTCTGACGCTGGCCAGAGTGAACCCGACCCTGACACCAGTTCCTGCCCAGCACGCACCAGTCCTCAACACTGAACTCTCTTCCTGTCCATATGTGTTCCTCTTATTTGCCACGTAGACATACAGTCAGGAAACCCAAGATCCATACTCTTCAGAGCGGCTCTCTGCATTCAGTTTAAGCTTGGGTGTAATTGGTCACAATCGTTTAGGCCCAGATAGAGGATGTTGCTCTTGAATCTGGTCCAAAAGAAAGCCCAAAGACTCTTACCAGTTAGTGCACACACATCCCTTTAATAAGGAGACTGAAGACTGAGCCCCTGTTTTTAGTCACCACTGAATCGGTCCAGGACAGATGGACTTGTGAAAAGGCCATGGTGATTTTTTTTAAATAAGTTTAGATTTGTTTGCTGGGGATTATGGTCAAAAACGTTTTCAAAAGCAACACACTCACCTTTATAAGCTACTCTATTTGTACTCCGAATGTTAGAGTCGGCCAATCAAAATGTTTGAATGCTTTTATTTCATGTCTGTGTTAGTTGGCTTTTTTTTTTCTCTCTCTGCTCCTGGTGGGATTTTTATTTTTTTTTTCTTGTGGACAGAAATTATGCCATTTGGACCGGTGTGCTTCATAGCAGACTAAACAAACACTCTCCTCTTCTATATTTAGAATAGTAGAACCACAACAACTGGACTTGATTTGGAATTTTTAAATCCTAGCAGTTTCAACCCCTGGCAAAAATTATGGAATAACCACAGTAAAAGAGGATTTTTTTTTTTTTTCTTTTTTTTTACTTTATAGCAAATAAACAAAACACAAAACTATTTTTTTGTTAATAGCTGAGCATTCTGGTTTTGTGAAACGTAAACTCAAACAAATCAGATTGCTTTTGTTGATGACATTTTAAGGAAAAATTATGGAAATCTAAAAAAAAACAGTTAGTACTTTCTCTGGCTTTTATGACGGCCTGAATTCTTTGAAACGCACGCTTTACTAATGAAAAACAATATTCTCCATGAAGCTGGTTCCAACTATTATGAACGAAAAGCAAGATGGAATCTTGTCATAGATATTTTTTTCTCTCTTTTTCAATCAGATTGAGATCTGGGATGTTTGTTGGCTCACTGAGTTGATCTGTCTTTCCTGATGAAAAGCTTTACCACACATGTGCCAGTAATTTGCTTTAGAAATCCAAATTACAAAGTGATTTTTTTTCCGTGTACTTGATATGGAAAACAATTTGCTATTATTTAAAAAATTAATTTTGTTTCACAAAGCCAGAATATTATAATATTATTTAACAATAACATTAAAAGTTGTTTAATTATATAAAAAGAAAAAATATTCCATTATTTTTGCCAGGGATTGTAGGCTAAAGTTTAGAATTCTAGAATCCTATCACATTTAGATTCTAGCTGAGTCAGAATGTAATAATCCTATATATATAAAATCTAGAATCCCATCACTTTTATAACTAGATTCCAATCAAAATGGCTAGAATTGGAATTCCAGAATTCCAGCAGCTCAGCTTGATCTAGAATTGTGAAGTCACTTGAATGGTGTCTAGATGCTCTTGTCTTTCAACCACAGGCTTTAAAAGCTCACAACTTCAGAAACACAGATGAGATGGTTCTCTCACACTATCTGTGAAGATTACCCAAGGCTACAAAGAGCGAGAGCACAACGTCACCGCATTCAGAACTGCATTCTATTTAAGAGCCCGTTCTCTGTTACCTGTCCATCTGTTCTTTTCACTGGCCGTCTTCAGCGCTTTCACTAGTCAGTTTGCTGCTCCCGCTGTTGCTGCTGCTGCTGCTATACTGCTTCTCATCTGCTGCACTTTTTGCTTTGGCTGTCTGTCCATCCTCCATCCTTGCACCATCCTGGTAAATGCTCCCCTTTGTTCTCCACAATTTGCCGTTTTCTACTGTCCAAGGAGTTTGCATGTTACTCACGAGCTGAATAGGTGCCTATCGATCGTGTTGTTTTTTGAGCGACGTAGGAACCCACTTGCACTCTAAAAGTTCCCACCTTAGCTGTGCCTCACTTCCAATGGTGCTTTCTTCTTCTGTGTAATGTTTTCCTTTTTTTTTATCGTTTATTTGTAAGGAGCTGTAAATAAAGTTAGTCTGTATGCACATATCCTACCCAATGGGTAGAAATCACAGAAAAAAAGACATTGTTAATAATGTAACAATTTATAGCTGATATAAAGATTTTAACATGGTGGCAACAGATTTGTAAATGCCTACAGTTCAAATGTGCTTTTTTTTATTTTTTTTTTACTTTCATTATTATTATTATTATTATTATTATTTTGTCAAATAAGGAAATTCATTATCAGAAAGATGCTTAATTATGAAAGTACTGAACTTGAAAGTAACATCTTGGTACAGAAAGAATTAAATGCTGTTCTGGATTAGGATGTTGCTTTAAACATTGCCCCAACAACAAAAGGCACATATATACACACATGCATGCAAAGGAATTTATTCAACTTGTTTTTAA